AATCAGCTGAGCCATCAGCTGATGTGTGTTTACGACTAGCTGTGATCATATGATATAGCTGGAATTGAGAACCGAGCCTGACTTCGTGGCCTGCCTGAGCTAACGCTATGCTCAATATGTGGCCATAATATCTTATTAAATTTATTCATTTTTAACACAAATTTTTATATTCATCTAAATAAATGTGTGTAATTTGACAGCATTTGACACCAAACCACCCCATGCCACAAATTAAGAGCCGCCCCTGAAAGTTGGGCGTCAGACTTGAGAATAAACCTATAAAAATATATCGACATAAACAAGTTAAAGAGGAAACCTGTGCAGCTGTAAGAGTGCACAAGATAAAGAAAAAAAATCCACCAATTTAGCTTCAAATTATATTAAATATATTTGTATTGAAATCAAATAATAATCAAAGCAAACTCAAAGCAACAAATCTAATATTTAATAGAATCACTCACAAACCAGTTGTTCAGCCCATTTAACAATAAATCTTAATCATAAATCCACAAAAAATCAACAGAAACCTGTTTTCAGTTCACAAACGTGTCCAGATAATCTCTGAGTTAGTGCGACTGTGTGTGAGGAGACTTATCTCGACTGTCTGTAGGTCCAACAGAGACGAGGAAGTCCAGCAGGGACCAGCAGCACTTTGTTGTCCAGGGAGGTCCAAAGATTCAGCTGTTTAATTTAATGTAACTTACTACTTAAATATCAGACATTATCCTCCATGCTGCTCCTGTTTCCCTTCCTCCAGCTCACAGGTGTGTCTGATTGAGCTCCTCACCTTCCAATAGTTTATTCTAACAAGATGGCCACATCCTCAATAGTGCTGACAAAAAGAAAGGCAGCATTACTTTGTGCAGTTCTACTATAAACAGATGTAAAAGAATAATATAGACAATTTGAGGCTGAGATCTCTGTGGTGGAAACAAGACACAGTTATATTTTAAAAGTAACATAAAGGAGTATTTCATATATCAAAATCCTTCTTTTCTCTTCCTGCATGACATTAAAATATTTAAATAAGTTTGAATTTAATGGCATATTATGTTATTATATTATTTTTTTTGTCTTAATAATATATCACAGCTGATAAATGACACTGATTTAATTTTGTAGGTTTTATTTGTAATGTGAAAACAAATTACTTAGTAAAAAGTACTTACTCAGGTTCCTGTAACTTACTAAACTAAGTTAGTGTCTAATCTAATAAAAGCTGTTAATTACGAATCTTTGTCAACTTAAATTTCACTTAAAATTTTCAATGTACTCCATTTCAACAAATTACATTAAGTTAAAATAACATCTTGTACGAGTGTTGTAAATGTATAAATAAAATCAAATATATATATATATAAAAAATAAAAATAAAAATGTTTCTGGTGTTGTATGTCTGAGCAAGAAATCCCTTTTAAACTCAGCGACTGTCTGTAGAAGAAACTGGAACATCCAGCAGCTAAAGAGCCAGATGTTTTCATCAGGAGTTGCTGGAGAAATTAAAATAAAATGTAAAAACAGGAGAATGAATCCATCAGGTGGCCAGAAACATGCTTCTAAATAAATGTGTGATTAGCTAAATGTTTTACTTCAGTCATAACGGTGGTTTCTTTCAGCTTGTTTCTGTGTTTTTCTGCCCCCTGGTGGCAACAAATCGATGAAAGCATCTTTAAATCAGATTGAACAAACTCACCGGAGAGATCTGTGAGTGGGCTCATCCTGGCAGACGATGAAGGTCAAACTGAAGTCTGTTTTGCATAATAAGTCCTCCCGCCTTTGAGGATCCAGTCGGGGATCACCTTTAGCCTCCGGCTTATCTCCCCGACGGTAAACAAAGCGCCGCTTTAACACTCATTAGTGTCCGCTGCCACCGAGATCCAAGACTCTACTAATTAGAGAGGTACTGATGTCAGGTTGTTCGCTCACCGGTGCAACTGTTTGCAGAAAGAGAAATACTGCGAGGATCGTGTCGGAAACTATTTACAGAATGCAGTTGTTGTTGTTTTTACAAGTTTTATTTGTCAACAAACAACAAAGGTGTTAATTAATGAGCCTTAGAAGGTGCAGGGAAGTGTTTTCCTTTTTTAACCTTGAACAGAATGCTAGCTGTTTCCCTGTTTCCAGTCTTTATGCTAAGCTAAGTTAACAGCTCCAAACTTGACGCCCCCTTGGAACGAGAGGGGTTCTCAGTCTTCTTATAGATGATTAGATTTGATTGATACCAATTATCATAGCTGCCTGATTCCTTATCGATTTCCATTTTGATTCCTGATCAGTTACTGTGTCCAACACAGATTTTCGGCAATCAATCAATGCAACAATGTTTTATTATAAATTAAATCTAAATTTAATTCAGAGGAAGCTCTATTGGCTTCACCATATTGAAACAGTATTGCCAAAGCAGACTGTACAAGATAAAACATTATTTAACATTATAGTTTTATTATCTGAGTCTCTTTCTTCTTTAAATGAAGCCACACTTTGGATGACATCGATAAATCTTGGTGAAATACGACTATGATGAATCAGACTATTTTGGAACAGTTCTTGATTCCCAAATAATAAAAGAAAGCAAATAAGTGTCGAACTATTCCTTTAAACAGCGATGGTCTTCCTTGTGTGCTGCATTTGTTTAGTCTTTCTTTTCATTTACTCACCAAACAATTATTCTCATTACGCTTCAATCTGCAAACCAAAAACTGTGTTCACTTATTTCTAATTAAACTCACTCTGTAGATCATAATCTTCCTCCTCTTCTCCTCAGGAGTCATTAAACTTTCATCCAAACTAAATGAACGCTGCCCGACCTCATCACGCCAGCGCTCCCATCTAATTGAGCACATATTTGGTTAGTTTTAGGCGTTGCTGGGTTTAAACTAATCTGTGACATTTATTTGTCCACGGGGAGGGCTTCAGAGCCAACATGATTAAAACTGTTGCACTCAGTATTAAATGATGATTCAGTCATGATTTATTAAAGGTGGCCTCCTCCGAAACCCACCGGCTGAAATATTTTTCATTTCAACTGATAATTAAAACCTCATGCATTCATTCTGGCTGCTTTTAATGGGGAGGTTTTAGACAATAACTCGTGTCAAATGTCATTTTGACCCTTTTCAGGGCGTTATATTGCACCCATATTTAACAATTTATGCCAAAAACATTCAGAAAACCTCAATTTATTTGCATTTTTATATCAAAATCCAATCATTTTGTCTTCCTGTAAAAACACAACCTCAGAGACAGACAGAGGACAGTTTGACGACAGCGGTACCGAGGTGATTTATGTCGCTAACAGTCGCCGTTAGCAGGAGCCAAACCTGCCAAAATAAACACCTCTGTACTTTATTCCCTGTCAGCAAACTCCTAAAAAACATTGCTTGATAGACCAAACCATGAATCAGTTGAGACAGAAATCAGCTTAACTGATAATAAAAATGAGTCACTTCCAACCATCATGTATAAGAGGGTCACCTTTATTGTCACAAAAACACAACAGGAACGTACAAAAGCAGCAACCTTTTTCGTTTGGTTGATTTTTCTCACATGAAGCAGCAACTTTTACTTTCCATACACAAAAGTTGCGCGGTGTTTTGCACGGTTTAGTTGGTCTTTATTAGTTTATACTGACTCTGTAGTAGATTATCATTCTTCGTCACAATTCACAAACAACACTTACCCCACACAGCAAGCATCACTCTCAGACTGGAGGAACAGTATTTACTTGATATATCATTCAAATATCTTCCTCAATAGTTACAACAATTGTTTTTTTTTTACTTTATTCTCACAGTAAAAGGGGCTTTTATCGACCCATTTTGAACATAATACAAAAATCTATGTTACTGTACAATTTTTGTTTACTCTATCATACACTCACAAGTATACACAGAATTATTGACAATAAAATGAGACCTCTGTTGACCCAGCGTGCAGATTTCCAGGAATGTATACAGTATGCATGCCATTTTTGGATTACCTTTTTTTTTTTTTTTTAATCCATCTAAAAAATGTTCCCACATAAAATCAATTTTTTGTAATATAGTATTTGGGTTTATATACACTTTTGAAACATCCACAAATGGTTTGAACAATCACACATTCATCAATAAACCATCAATAGAGTTTAAACTGCGGTCTGTGTAGTACACTGTCGGTTATAATAGAGGAAAAACAGCTATAAAATGGGGGGGGGGGCGTCCTATCAGTGAGCTTTAGAGGAAGGTATGTGCTTTTTATAAATGTGGTGGTGTACTATATACTGTCCATCACAACCGTCTGGAGTACCTCCAGCTCTCCCGCCGCTGACTCTTGTCTTCTACAACAAAGTGTGGTCATGGTTAGCGGGAACGAAAAAAATAAAAAATAAAAAAATCTTTAACACAGAAAAATAATAATTTACAGAATAAATGTGTTACATGCTTATGAATCCTCTTCTTCAAGTATAAAAATACAAAAAAAGCTTGATTATATAAAACATAGATGACTTTTTCTTTTTTACATGTTAATAAAGCGATTTTTCTTCAAAACAAAAAACTACATGGTCATTTTAATATACATACAATATATCTGTGAAGTGATTTTAGGTTATACTTTAACTGCGTTTGTCTATTGTTACTCGTGCTAGCATTTAATGCCATTTCTGAGACTACTAATACATTCCATAAATGTATTAACTATATACTGAAGCATTGTGATTTAATTCCTGTGGTATAAATACACTCACAGTGAGCCTGTGAGCAGGATTATTTAACTCTTTACACTTCATCTCAACCCCTCAGGCGTGTTATATCCAGGGTTCGATTGAGTGTCTACAACAAAGCAATCTTAGGAAACAAGGAAAATATCGTCCCAGTTTCATACTTCATACTAACTGTATACATTATATACTAATTGCTATAATATTATGTTTTTTTATTCATCAGAATCTCATTAATTAACTACTTGTGAGCTCTCTCACCTCCACCTGCAGTTTGTTTTAAAGAGGCTGAACCCGCCGTGAGGTTAAATTTGGCCAAAATTATAATATTAATTGCTGTTTGTGCTGCTTTAATTTTTGTGAGGTCAAAACGCTGTTTAAATATCTGGAAAGTGAAACTTTGCACTATAATTCAGGGAACTTGGAACCATTTTGCATTGTAAAAATACAATAAAATGTGTGTTTACTTTCGGCCCCTGGCTCACCATTAAATCTCAAGGTTGGGCAACCCTGTTTTAAAGGGAAAGTCCAACAAATTTTAATATTAATTTCTGTTTACTCATCCTGAGAAGGGTTTAATTAGAGTAATGAGTTGAAGTGTGGCCGATCCAGCGGAATACGGCAAAAAACCTCAAACATAACGCAGTTCAACTACGCTGGGAATCAATAAAAAGAAGCTATATTGTTTAAGTTGTTTCTCCGAGACGACATTTATATTGTTCTTCACATGAAAAGTGACAGAAATCGTCAGATACGTTGGCTCCTGTCACACCTCCACACGGCTGACCAGTTCACGGATGTCAAATTGTCAGAGAGTCTCAGAGATGGTCGGATACACGTTCTCCCGCAATCTGACATTGTGGATGGAGGTTTTCTGAAGCTGACATCTTACTAGGTAAAAGATTAATACTGATCAACTGACTCTCTGGAGGATGGATTCATTTATCTTCTCAGACTGAAGAAAATCTGACTCATTAAATAAATTTGGGAGGATTTTGGCTCCATTCTTCCAGTTCGTTAAGAGGAAACATTCCCACTGATTAAAGCAAACTTTTGTGGTTTGGAGGCGTATTGATATTGTGTTTGTATGTTGGTTTACTTTCAGCTGACTGATGGTTTGTTTGTTGTATCCATTCATGGTTGTGTTATGTTGGGTTTTTTAAGTCTTTATAATAATCTAAATACTGCCCTACAAAGGCAAACCGCAGTAACTACAATTTCATGTTCTCCACTGGGAACTCTTACTGACTTTGTCTGTGTATTACTGTGCTAACGCTAGCTAGCTAGATCGGACATGGTATTATTGTAGTAATTAAAATACATCTGTCATAGGTTAAAGCTCACAAAATACTTACATTTCTATCTATTATCTATAAATATTTCACATTTTTACACATTAAACAATACCGAATACAGATTTAATGTAATAAGACATCAGATTAGCTTTAGATGTTTTCAGACACTCCTTTATATCTGATTATGCTAACACAAAGACAGAGTGCATTAATCTGCAGTTTTGGGGTCAGATGTCAAATAACTGGTCATCATTATTGAGCCGTAAAAACAACTTATTATATATTTAATAAGCTCATAACTGCCGTTCTTCCTAAAACACTTTTGGGTGGACAGTCAAAAAACTTTAAAACCTTTTTTCTTTATTAGCGTAGTTACTGCGGTTAGCCTCTGGAGGGCAGTATACTTACTTTAAAAGTCTTTTTATAAATGACACAATTTTCTTGCAAAAGCCACCAAACAAAGTTTAAAGAATATACGTACCGTTTAATAAAGATATGCTTGCCAAACTTCAAGGCAATTCAATCCTGAATCTTTTGATTGTTGCTGAACATCATTAAGTTAAACTTGATAAAAACCTGCTTAAAATTAGTACGTAGTTTGAAACTGGGACACAGATATTGTGTTGGATTGTTAGACACGGTGGACGATGAATTTGCAAGAAAGATGTTAGAAGTGAAATCCCCACACTGCTTCGTATTGTAGGTCCAGAGCCGTATCCAATAAACCTTCAATGTGAAAAGTAAATTATTGGTGTGTTGATCTCCTATTTGGCTCCCTAGTGTGATAATTTGGTGACTTCTAGCTGATAGTCGGAACAAACTGTTAAAAATCTCTCTCCTTCAAGGTCTGAACTAGGATCGAGTCCAAAACCAGAATGATCCGAGTACTCGCTCCTCACGTATTTAGTCCAGCTGAGACCTGAGAAGCAGACAGAGGATGAAAAAAGCAAAGCGAGAGAGCGAGAAGGGGAAAGAAAGACAGACTCACAGACTGAAATGATGTGAGAAGAAGCGGTGGAAGGAGCCAAACATCAGCCACACTGATGGGGATTGGCCAGAAGGATGAGCAGCGTTTTCTGCCGGAGCACAAGAAGCAGCATCAGGGACAAAAACATCTCAGCACTGCCCCCCATCCCCACCCCCCCCAAAAAAAGCAAGGAAGCAGAGAGGAAGGAAGATTTATGAGCAAAAATAAAAAAGTCAAAAAACAAGACGGAACAAGAAGCAGTGAGAGGGAGGGAAAAGAAAAAAGACAAAAATAAAAATTTACAAACAGACAAATGTATTTCAAGTTTGTTAAATCTTACACATTCCCCGCCCTCCCCGAACTACCGCTACTCTACGCTTCGATCTCCTGATTGGCCACCGGGGACGGCGGGTTTTGGTGCATCGTGCTTGCGGGGAGATGAGAGAAGAAGAAGGAGAATGTGGCTGTCGCTGAGCTGCAAACAGGCAGAAATGAAGCTGTGATCACAGCGCTGCTCTGGGACCCAAAGATCTGTCCTTATTCAGCTCTTCTTCTTCTCTGTGTGACGCCGGGAGGGAGGGGGGAGGGAGGCAGGTAAAGGAGACAGGAGAGGAGGGATCATGTAAGATGAGACTGACATGAGGAGAGGATAAAAGACACAAGGAAAGAAAAAGAAGGGCAGGAGAGTGAACAAGGAGGAGGTGAGGAAAGGAAACAAGACGAGAAGACAGAATGGAAAGAGGAAAGGAAATTTAAGGAGAGGAAAGAAAGAACTGAGATAAGGAGAGTTGAGAAGAGCATAGGTGAGGAAACAAGAAGAAGAAGGAGACAAGGAATAGAGATGTGTCTCTTTGTCTCCTCTTCTTGTTTGCATGGAGATGATAATAGAAAACAAGCACAGGAAAGGAAGGAGAGGAAGCAAGGTAATTAGCAAAAGAAAGCGGAGAGGAGAAGAGGCGAGTCAGAGGAGAGGGAACAAGGAGAGGTATTGGAATGAGAAAGAAGGAAACAGATGCAGAGAGAGAAGGAAACCAGTAGGTGAGAGGATAGGAGAGGTAGTAAGGAGAGAATATACAGAAACGGGAGGAAAAGTAGAGATACGGAGAGGAAACAAGGAGATAAGAAAAGGAGAGAAGGTGGGAAGAAGGAAGGAGAGGAGACAACAAACGGACACAAGGGAGAGAAAGGAGAGTAAAGGAGGAGATGAAGGAGGAAAGGAGTGTGCTCTCTATTAGCCAAGGCTCTCGGGTGTTGCTAAGAAAACATTTCCTTCAATCTGACCTGATCTCTCTTTAAACAGCAGCAGAGTCTCAGAGGCTCCTTTATGTGTCCAATAAATAAACCAAGTGGAAGAACAACCGAAACGTGTCCGTCCCCTGGTCCGTCCCCCCTGTCCTTCCCTTGGTCCGTCCCCCCCTCTTCTGCCACCGCTAATGAACGGCTCTGCACATTACTGGAACACAGATCTTCCCTCACATTACACAACGGCTGGTGACTGTTTGTGCATCCCAATGTTCGACGAGGCGAAAGGGTTTTTGGGGACAAACAAGCTACGTTCAGGAAGATTAATGACTGAGACTGTTCAGACAGCACCGGGCATGTAGAGGAACGCCTGCCACAGTGGGACTGTACGTCTAAAGAGTGCCAAGTACATCTGTGCCTGATGGATGCAGCTTCAATCTGTCCTTGAAAGGTAAAATCCTCACGAAAAGGATGAAGCTTGAGTCTTGTTTTTGTAGCTTTGATTGTTGTTTCTACCAGACAAGTTCAGATGTTGCTGTGAGTGATCTGGTGATTGACATTGAGTTTAATGGGACTTTTTGTGTGTAATTTAAAGTCCCATCTAGCTACGATCAGAGGTAGGCAACCTAGCAAATTAGGGAGGAGCTAGTGTATCTATATACCCATAATGGGCGGGGCTTAAACTGGACATTAACAGGACTGACTGGAAGTTGTTCGTTTAAGCCTGAAATGAATCTGGGTTGATCAGAAGTTGCTATATTTACTAGAGAACTACTTACAGAACAAGATTTTTAAATAAAAGTTATTATATATTATATTATAAAACAGATATCGACACATTTTACACTCTTCACACTGTTTCAGTCGAGTATTTTAACATGCTAGCCAAAAAAATATTTTTTAAGTAATGCTATGTCAGATATTGTTTACAGCTTGCTCAGCTAACCCTAAAGCCCTCCGTAACCTCTGCAAGGCAGCGGCGACAGGGGGCGGGCGCTAGGTGTGACGCAGCCAGTAGAAACTGTTAACAGAGGTTAGCATAGATGCTGCTAGCATCAGTTACATCAGAATTGAAGAGTATTTATTTTATTGAAAGACGAAGACTCTTCTCTCTCACAAAGACTTTGACTTTGTGATATGGTTTATTGATCTTATTGGTTAAAGTTCACCAGTGATAGATAGATGGTTCATCCAATCACCTGCCAAATATATTTTGAAACTGCCTTCGTACACTGTCACCCTCACAAGTGCTTGTCACATTGCGTATTCTCAGCCCCGGGGTAAGAGTCGACCCTGGGATGACTTACCCCCCTTTCACACACACAGTAAACCCAGGGTTAACCCTAAGCCCCCTGGCTGTACGTTCACACTGAACCTCTAACAGCCTGGTGCTAAGCGCAGTGTGAAAAGCCCTACAGGTGTTTTCACTTATTTATTTCCTGATGCTCGAGTGAGCACAGATTGTGCTTAATTAACACCTCCTCCACTCTCCTAATGCGACAGCTTACAACGATTATTCTTATTGGTACACCGAGTTTAGGGACCTTTTCCATCATAGCTCCGCCCGACTTCAACCTGAGCAGAGGGCTAATGAGCCTGGATGACTGAAACAACAGTGTCAGTAATAATTCCTCATAAACTGCACTCAGCTGCAGTTCAGTGGGTCAGGAGTCGGTCTGTGAACTGAGATGGACATCATTTTACTTTTCATCTTTTCTCTTTTTAAATAAATTTGGCTAATAAGGAGGTTTGCTTACAGCTCGTCTGCATGTCTCTCGACCCGTCTGGCTTCTCAATAACTGATTTCATCAGTGCAATAATAATATTACTGATAGAAACGAGCCAAAACTACAAAAATAAGACCCAAGTTGTGATAAAGTATTGACTCCGTGGGGCAATAATGCTTCTGTTCAAGGGACCAGATCAAAGAAGAAAATCTCAGTTTTGGCTAACAGTACTTGGACGAAGATGAATTCTTTGCAGGCTGGTGAGGATTAACAGCCGACTGTAACGCCTGAAGAAAAGACCGGCTGAGTGAAATACACTTAAAAAAGCCTTTCACGTCCTCTGAATGCTCATATTGTCTGTAACTGTGTTGGAAGAGGAAGAATCCAAAGCTTGACAACAGCTTAAGTTCAACAATAAAAGAAAACAGTTTGTGGTGACAAGGTGCTGCTCTGTGCCTCGGGGGGGACGCCGGCACATCTGCGGCTCTCCCACCGCTCTCAGGAACAAAAGGACTGGCAGACAGGTGCACCACCCAGACTCCAAAAGGGGATTATAAAGTGTGCCGCCTCCTTTTCGTTTTTTTGCGCAGCGGAGCAGCAACTTTTCCATCAAACTCAGGAATAAACAGGAGGAGCTCTGGAGCCGTGGCGGAAAACAAAACTCCTGCACAGGTTCGACAAAAGTTAGATGAGATATTTGGTGGTATTAGTTTGGCAGTTGTTGTAGATGGAAGCTGCAGTGTAATAGCCTCTGGTTAACAAACATTTCACAATCCACAATGCTTTCATTTGCCCCGAGGCTTGGAACAAGAATCATGTGATGTTTACTGCATCCTTCACCTACAGCAGAAAATGTGTGAATGGAAATAAAATAATAAAGTGACTGCAATGGCAGCAAAGTTTAACTTTTGTTGTGCGACTGTTTTACTGTATCAGCATTCTTTACATTAACTATTACACAATCTGCTGCATTGGACCCACAACCCACAGCTCTGTATGTAGTTTAGGGTGTCAGAGATGCATTTTTCTCTACTGACACTGAACCAAAGCAGATAACTTTGCTCGTGTGGCTGCGTTGAGGATACGTAAGAGAATACGTGTTTCTGCTCCACATTAACACCAAGTTTGATGTCATTATCTCAAGCCACGAGCTGAATTTATGCACAAAAAAACAAACCATTATTTGCTTATAGGCTCTTTGGGTGATGAATTTTTAAAAAGCAATAAGGGAGTTGATATTCAGTCCTGCACAAGACCCGACCGGCCCCCTGAATACTAATCCCGGAGGTCTCGCTGCGGAGGGAAGCGCCACGCTCGCCCAGATGGCTTCAGCATGTCAAGTGATGAGGTCAGCCATGTTAGCCATGTGCTAATTGCTGTTACGGCTAATGGAGGCTATTGTCAAAGAGGCCGTCCTTTCCTGGGAGTCATAACCTGATACATGGACGTCTCTCAAATATGTGTGGGCTCCTGCGGACGAGCTGCTTTTAGGGAGAAATGAACTTATAAATGAGGTAATGCATGATTAATGGCTAAATTCATGAACTCATTTTAAAAATGCAGTTGTAGAGATTCAGGGTGGAAACTGTGGACGTCTGTGAGCAGTTAAGGTGCTCACTGTCTGGACGGTTTATCATTTTCTCTCTCTGAGTATTTTCTGAAAGCTCTTTTTCGTGGCGGAGGATGGGTCAAGGCTGCTCCACTCAGCAGGTCGGGGGCAGCTTGGAGTGTCTGCGGGAGCAGATAAGACGAGCGGAGCTTCACATCTAAAAAGGCTTCGGAGTTCGTCAGCCAAGCACTGAGTTTAACCTCCCGCTCACACATACAGAGCCTCCCTCTGGCCTCTCGTGAGCCTGGAGCTGGTTTCATTTCCATACTCGGCTCTGATTGGACCGTTTATTTCCCCTGCTGGTGCAGGAAGACGTCTTATTTTTTTTTCCCAGTATCTTGTTAAAGTTATGTTTTATGGAGAAGCTGTTTACAGTTTTTCCCACCTTTTGTTTGAAGTTCTTTTTTGGAGCTGAAGCAGTCATGAGAAGGAAAAAGAGAGCGACTGGTTGTCTGCAGGAGGATTTATAGGAAACTACAATACTTTATGTTGGCACTGTATACGACTGAATATGAATTATTCCACTTTCACAAACATTTATCTGGATTTATGTGGTTTGAAATTCACTCAGTGATTTTAAATTTTACAATTTCATTTCAACTTTTCCAACGTTTGTGGGTCATGTGACTAAAAAAGGGATAATAAAGTATATTATAAAGCCTCTTTTTGAATTATTTATTTTGCGGGTCATGTGATTGACAGAATGTAACCTGATATGACATCCGATCGCTTCAATTCAGGCTCCATTGATTATATCAGCAGACTGGTGGTTTGTACATTTAATTTTTTTGACTAATTATTAGATCTGAAATTTAACAACTGAATTTGAGCAACTTCTGTATAATTTCTGTTAAATATAAAGCCCTTTAAATACTTAAATGTACTACAAAGAGTTTTTAACTGGTTACGAAACAGAAAAGTGTACTAAATCAGACTTTTTTTTTTGCCTGTATGTGACTTAGATCTGACAAATCACATTAAATCTGATTCGGTCTACTTTCTTATGTGGTTCTCACAGTCATAACAGAATTCATGTGACTTTTACATCTCTCTAGATCGACATTTGTCAAGCGAAACAAACAAACCAGATCTGAGCAATAAATCAGGATTGAGAGCTAAGGTTTGAGGTGTGAACACAGCCTGTATGAACCCACACATTGGACCATCAGCGATCAGATTTCTATGTAGTTATTCTTTGTGCCTGAAATCGGGTCGGATCCCCCTTGAAATCAATGAAACGAGACAGTGGGAACACTACCACTTCTGTCCACAGGGGCCGCCAGAGTCAACACAGCATGAGAGTTCCTCGTAGCGGCTTTAAAGGACCAGTGTGAATTTAGTGGCATCTATGAACTACAGTTTAAGTAAAACACAATCATTGTTATTTTCAGGTGATTATACACTAATGAAAACACACCTGGAATATTATATTGCATTTCTGCCAATTGATCCTCCTCAATGTTACACACTGGACCTTTAAAGTTTAATAAAATCAACTCTCATCCATAAATATTTTTATTGCACACGCATTAAACTGAAAAAAGCTTGTTTACAAAAACAGCTTTTTCAGGTAACCTTGGACATTGTGCTTCACTCTTGTCTTCTTGCATAATAAGCCGTAGCATCAAAGCTCTCAAAAGAAAAGGCAATTCTGAGTGAGCTAGCTTAATGGATTGGCCTTTTGGCTGGAACGTGGACCTTTCAGGGCTGTTCATTACCAGCCACACCAAAAAATACTGTGCAACCGCTGCAGCCCTACCTGCAGATTTAAAGGATGGATGATAGAAAGAGAGCAGCATGTGGTAATTGCTGGATGAATAGAGCAAGAGATGAGGTTTCAGTGAGAGAATACATGGCTGGATCACGATGAAATATCATCACGTCGACCTTGAGATATGAAATCATTCCGTGGCATTACTGGAGATTATGCCGCACAATGGAGGCAACGGATGTATCTGAATAGATCTCTTATAATAAAGCTAGTTTAATCAGTCACAAGCACCACCAAGACCTTCCTCAGGAAATCAAAACAGCGACATACTTGTACGACAAAAAACTTGATCTCTAAGCAAGCTAGGTTAGATCCAGTAACTCAAAACACACATCAAGAACTGGTAAAAATCAAGGTTTCTGTAGATAGTTCCCCCTCTGGTGTGTGTGCTGATCGGGCCTACACAGTTTGTCTCGTCTGGCAGAATTCACAGGGAGGCAACTTCCTTCGCAGCGACTGCAGAGAGGAGAGGCGGACGGAGCGTCAGAGGTGGAGGTTTTAGAAGTGGAATACCTGCTGCTGGCCCTGGACTTTGGGGAAATCCTCTTTCTGCTTGCGGGTTTTGGGCCTCTCTAGGCTGCCTTGTTGAAGGTGTTTGAGCCGGGCGGCGACGGTGGGGCCCTTCATCGGCCCCGGAGAGTTGCTGCTGTTCTGTGGGAGCCAAGAGGAAACAGATATTAACGATACAAAGATACAAAGCCGACAATTCTCACATCGTACATACAATAAACGCTACAAACTACATGGCCAAAAGTATGTGGACACCCAAACCTACACTCTTGTGTGATTGTTGGACATCTGTTTCCAAAACAGTGGGCATTAATCTGCTGCTATATCAGCCTCCATTCTTCTACAGTTCATCCCAGAGGTGTTGGAAGGGGTTGAGGTCAGAGCTCCACGCCACACTAGGAAAACCATTTCTTTATGGAACTAGATTTGTGCACGTGATGTTGAAACACTTTGAAACACAAACTGCTCTCTGTTCTCTAAAAGGTCATCATATGATGGGAGTTTTGCTTGTTGGAAGTAAAGAGACTAAACCATGAAAAAGTGCTGGTTCAGCGTTGTCCACATATTTTTGGCCACACGTATAAGTTGATTAAAAGTGGTTGTGCTCTTTAAGTCCCTGCCCGAGGATAGTGCTTTTTCACATACTTAATGTGCAATAGTCTGATTAATGTGCAATATTCAGCCAGTCTTTGTAATACTGTAATTTCTGTAATATTTCAATGATCTCAACATTAACATTATCAGCGCTCACTGTTATTCATTACACTGCTGTCGGTCACATACTGTAGCACACATTCACTGTATTAAAATGTACATACTTAGATACTTATTATATTTCAATTTTATTTACTGATCTCTTTACAACAAATACTTTTAGGGTTTTATTTCCATCCATTTCTATGTCTCATCTATTTTTTTGGTTTATTTGTCTCAGTGTTTTATTGTTATTTTTACTCTCTGACGGTCTTTTATTCCACCTCACTTGTGGATCACTTTATCATTTTATTTTGCCTTATTGCCTCCAGAAATGGTTTAAATTCTGGCTTCAAACAAGTCAAACACTTTGTAACTTTGTTTTAAAAAGTACAAATAATGTGTCTTCCAGTTTTCAATGTTTCTTAATAATAACATTATAACATTATAATATTATACTATCATTAAAAACATCCACTTCACCTGCTGTTTATTTAAAAAAACTCTCTGCATTCTGTCTTCAATAAATATTTCAGCATATAATATATATATATATATATATATTTATTTTAAATATTTCTATTTATTTTCACTAATACTGTAATCATGTATTTGACCTGTAACTCCAGCATTTATGTGTTTTTTCAGTATGTGTGTGTGTGTGTTGTGTGTCGGTGTGTGTGTGTGTGTGTGTGTGTGTGTGTGAATGTGGTGTGTGTGTTGCTGTATGTGTGTGGGTGTGTGTGTGTGTGTATATGTGATAGTGTGTATTGTGTGTGTGTGGTGTGTGTGTGTGTGTGGTGTGTGGTGTGTGTGGTGTGTGTGCTGAGTGTGTGTGTGGAGTGTGTGTGTGTGGGGTGTCATCCCTGAGGAATGAGGGGGAGACCTTTCCCAGAAAATGAGAGGAATTAACTGCAAACAACGAGGACGCTCTCCATTCTGGATCTGGATCTGGATCTGGATAAACCCGAGGACAATGCGGACACAAAGACGGAACTGTAAACAATACTGGGTTCCCATGTTTGTTCTTTCTCTCTTTTCTTCACACAGTCAGCCTCTTGGATCTGTTTGTGTCTTTGTGTTTTGATTTATTGGAATTTTTACATTATATTTTCTATTTACTGTGCAAATAAACAAAGTCTGAATTTAAGTTTCTTTAAAAATACACTACAAAGCCAATATCTTTTGGAAAAAATAAAGGTAGAATAGTGAAATATGTTTAGTGAACTTGGCATATTTCAGTTCCCGAAATGTTTTGGTACTGTCTAATCTAATTATTTGAATAATTGAATGGATCCTATTAACTTTGCGTTTTGTATTTTTTTTTTTTTGCCCTTTTGTCCTTTTTGTTTTTTGTTTTTGTTTTTCTCTTGTGAGTTTACCCTATTACGTTATTTTTGTTGTGTTTCGTCTTGTGTGATATACGTACAGTCGCCTGTGTTAATAAAAGAAAATAAAGAATTGTTCTACAGGGTCCCAGACGTGTCCAGCTTTGTTTCTGAACCTTTCAGGAGCAGCACGCACACTGAGAATGAAAATGCTGTACCATGGGAAACATTGTTTTAATGACTGTTTTACTCTGCTGACATTAATCACTGCTGGCACAAGTTTTAAACATAGCAGCGAGTGCCCGACGCCTTCAGTGAATTAAATGTGAATTTAAAAACACCTGCATGTGAGAAAATAGTTTCTTTCAGAGAAACATTTCTGTCTGCAGTGCTGAACCTGAAATCCTCCGCCGCCCTCGCCCTCCCTCCCGCTCGCCCTCCTTTATTTTGACAGCTACCTTCTCGCCGCTGTCGTGCAATAATTCCAACAAAAACAAGACCTCTTTAGTCAGCTAAATGTGTCACCAGAGCTGTCAGGAAGTGCACTCAGCGCTCGCAGTCTGCGAGGGGAAAAAAACAAAATACATCATCCGCTTCAATCAGTGACTCACTGCGCATCACACCGTCAATTAGAAGGTTGCATGTTTACAAAGCACTGCTGAGGACGAGACAAAGAGCTCCAGGTTCACAAACAAAGATCACGCTATGTGCAGAGCTCACAGGAAGCAGAGGAAGTGTTAACAGGGTTAGAAAGAGACGTTCAGCAGAGCAGATAGAACGGAAACCACACTGCAGGCCACCACGTCTAATACAATGATCAATAGGTTCTCTTTCTTCTGCTGAAATGAACAAAATGCTGAGATATAGACCTACTGTGCATATTTCTAAAGTTTTCTTACACCCCTTAAAACCAAGAAGGCCTCGCGACCCCTCGTGAAGCTTTGGTGACCCCTAGTGGAGGTCTTAACAATTTATTAGAATTTTTGTTATTCAATGTTATTCATATACTGTAAAAGTAAATATAATGTTGTAACTGACATCCTTCTGGTTCTATATATGTGTTAAAGTCTTATTCTGTGATGTAACAGCAACGTTGTAGGGCTGCGACTAACAACTGATTTCCTTAGCAATTAGTGAAGTGTTCATTTTCGGGAATGATTGAGGAGTTGTTTGGTCCATAAAATGACAGAAAAAGGGTGAAAAATGTTGATCACTGTTCCCAAACAGCCAAGGTGACGTCCCCAAACACACAATATATCCAGTTTACTGTCATATAGAACTAAAGAAATCTAAAAGAATTTTGACTTTAAAAAAAAAAAGATTAATTATCAAAATAGTTGGTGATTAATTTAAAAGTTGACAACTAATTGATTAATCAACTAGTCGTAGCAGCTCTACAACATTAGAACGAATGAATGTGTGTATCTTTGCTGTATCTGATTAAACCAGCCCAATTTATAATCTGTTTTCTGCCCTGAACAGAGGCGTCGACTATTTGCGTATTAGTGGTTATGAAGGTTTGAGTAAAGTAAAGAATAAATGCCAGTGAAGGGCAGTCAGTAGAAGTAGAAGCACAGGCGTGGCAGACAGAGAGGGCTTTTTTTTTTACCTTTCTGCCCAAGGACCCAAAGGTGCATGGCGGAGTGGGCGTGGCCTTTGGGAGGGTGCTGTACTGTTTATTAGAATCATTTACAGGCGTTCTCTGAAATATCTTTGATCCGTAGTTGTAGTTGTGTGGGAGAGCGTGGCAGAGACATGTTATCACAGTCATAAGGGCAAAACACAAATATGAATATGTGCACAAGTAAGGCATCAGCGATCTGCACTGTCCTACCTCCAGCTCAGCAATTATCTTCTCCTCGTCGTCCTCGTCTTGAATGGCCGATGCTGCGATCACGGGCGGGGTCGAGGCAGGTCGCGGGGTGTCGGAGGGGGTCCGCCTCAGCTTCACCAGAGTTTTAGGCATGTCACCATCTTCTTCCATCTTAAAGGAGAAATGAAGACGTTAAAACCACTGTGGAGTGGAGCACCTTGTGAATCCCTCACAACACAGCTCACAACTCATCCAAATCACTCGTTCTACACAAACGTCATTTCAACTCATCAGTTTACTCATGAACCACCCTCATAGATCGTGTGTATTGTTATTAATGGTTGATATTTATTCTTAATTTATTGAACCTGTTGAAATAAAATCTCTTTTCCAATGCTGACCCGGCCAAGAAAGCAGCAACGTTTCACATCTGAGTGCCAATTTTATACAAACCAACTAAATATTACAAAACAACACATTGCACATTATACAGGATGAGAGCTAATCAACCACACACCAACCACTATCAACCACAGGGGTTAAACAAGCACAGATATTAATTAACTAAATTAATTCAGTGAGATGAGGGAGGAAAGATTGATGGTCACTCCAAGGCCGCACACTGAAATAAAACAGACTCCCTTTTTCCAGATTCAGTCCGCACAGATGGCACCTTTCAGCCTAAAGTTGGCTATAAGAGTGTGGGTATTATGTACAAGTATTGATGTATGTACGAGGGCGATTAATCAGTAATTCACTTTAATAAAGATACTGGCATCACGATCATAAACTTCACTTTAACTCAAAGACCAGAGAAAGACTAACTTTCTCTGCCTTGGTGCCCAGTCGCCATTATTCATTTCTCTGTTTAGTAGTCAGCACACTGTAAGCCACAGTCAGATCTCTGAGTGAGCGCCACTGAAAGCTGCGATGCAGGCAGAAAGAGGAGACAGCCTGCGGAGGAACCTCCAGTATGGGAGGAAATGAGAGACAGAGTGACAGCAGTGTCAGGCTGTACAAGAGCAGACAGCTCCTTCAGCAGGCGAAACTCTCCACACTCTTGACATCCTCTCAGACTTGGATGGACCCAATATTTTATTTCTCTACTTTCAAAAAGTGAGAGGACCAGAAAATCCTCCTTTTGCCTGACGACGGCCGTCTCGTATTGTGAATTTTTTTGTAACAAATAGAATAATAAAACGCATTTTTAACGGATGACGGATTATAAAAGCACATTCAGAAATACAGTCTTGGTGTCATCTTGGGCTTTAGGAAACTGCGATGAGTATTTTTCACTATTTTCTGTTATTTTATTGAACAAAACGCAAATTCATAGTTTATTCATGAATTTTAATACTTCCAGCAGTCTACATTAAGGATAGTGTTCTATGTTCTTCATAGCAAGATTAATGAGGTGGGTTTTCTTGTTTCCCAGTCCAGGGAACAATACATTGTTGAAATAAATTGTCTTTTAGAACATAACTAACCATTGCTAGTGGCATACACGGTAATTACAGCATACTTACTTAGATGAGGCAAATCTATTCAAGCTGAAATAATACTAAGTCTATTTATTTATAACAGAGACTTTCTTCAAATTGAGCTGATCTGTGTATGGCTCACAGCATTTCCCTTTAGCCTCCCCTATAGAACGTCCACAGCAACTCACAGTGCTGCTAACTAAAGCAAAGACTCACATATTGAGGATGAAATCAGTAATGAAAATAGCTGAAGCTCTAATGCAACAGAAGCAGGTTAAACATTAACCTTCACACAGTCTCTGTTCAGGAGCAGCTGACAGCTTTTTGGAGAGTTTCAACAGCGGCAATAAACAACGCCATCAGTGCCGTCCTCTGGCTTCAGTGACGGTAAAGGTAAAGGTCACGGGACAATGAACTGACTGGTTGCCGGGGGCGCTAGGAGTAATACGGACAGCTCGGTGAGCGACGGCCAAAGTTTGGAGTGAGTGATGAGCCACAGAGTAAACACCCAAAATGCATCAGGATTTTCCCAGGATGTGAAAAAACAAAGCTCATTTGGTGGATTGCTATGGCAACGCACAAACATGGCACACTTTAACGGTGACGGCTGTGAACTGATGCAGGGTTTCCACTCTTTTTAACACTTTACCAGGACATTTTCCAGTTTTTCTTAACAATTCAGGACGTATAATTTACAGGTAGGCCTAGTATGACCTTAGCTCCGGTCTTATTGCTAATGTTTTTAATAATTAAGTGTCTCAGTGAGGGGCTAAAATACAATAAACATTCTTTCAAGAGAACACAGATTATTTTCAGGATATTCGGTCATTTTAATTCATTTCCAGGTGTTGGAAAACTAGTCTCTACATTTCCAGATTTTCCAGTGGGAACCCTGTGACAACATTGTTTGTGCCAAACACTGAACCTGAATATCAATACTCAGATCTCCTCAACAAACCTTAAAAGGCTCAGTCTGTTTTGTATCCAGGCTAAAATTTGAGCTGCACACAAATCTTGGAATAAACTCTGGACATTTTTATGCTGAAAAATCCCCCAAATGTACATGTTTCACCTGTTAATATTCCCTATATGACTGTCCCCTCCAGTCAGCACTAATTAGTCTAATGACTGTCAATCACACGTAGAGGAAGACGCCCAGTTGGAGGCTTGAAACCAGTTTCTGAACCAGGAAATAAAGATAAAAAAACAACATGGAAGCAATCTACAGAAAGTGCCAATTGGTGACGTTTCCAAGAGTAAAGTACTAATCCACAATTCAAGGCAAACTGAAGCTTGGTTATTCAGCACGTTTCACAGACCTCAAACTGAACTTCTGTGTGACGAATTGAAGGAAGGAACTACTTGATGCTGTTCGATCAGAATGGGGGCCGAGGTCCCTGAGGAAGGTTTTCAGCACCTTGTTGAATCAGCGCCTTGATGAACTCAGTTTGTTCTGGAGACAAAATTGAATTCCACTCAGCAGGGATCTCCACAGAGAGAGATCAGGGAGGCTTTAGAGCAGCAGCAGCAGCTCGTTCGTGCCTGAGAACCGAACCTAAAACTGCCCCCCAGCCAACAGGAATCTCCCTCTGTTGTACATATGAGAGCAGGTTTTTTAATATGTGGGTCAGTATCCGACTTGTCTCACAGAATCCCCACATACAACAGCGCCGCGCCCGCCTACAGGCTCGCCTGAAATCCTTAAAATGGCTTCTGATAATATTTTGGATCAGCTGTTGCAGGAAAGTCTGCATCAGATTTAGATTCAATAAACTTTAACAAAAAGAAAAACACCAAAGCTTTGAACCAGCAGCGGCACTATAGTGGGTGGTTCACCTGCGAAATGTCACTGAATTAAAAGCAAAACAGCTGTTGTTGAAACTCACTCAGTGACACTCGCTGTCACATTAATTAAAACTGCCGGCTGTTTGTTCGGTCGCTCACAAGGCAAAAACCCACTCAGTGTTTTAATCATGAGGCAGGATATGATTCCAGGAGCAAACACGGCTTTAATTCGAACACCTATATGTGGGCTATGTTAATAAAAAATGATCTGGAGCCTGTAGAACATCCTTACTTTCACTTTCATTTCAGGGTGAAGATTATTTTCATTATATCTTTGGTTTAAGTGATACGTGAGTTGTTTTTATTCTTATGATCATATTCAGGATATAATGTTATAAATAAGAAGCCACTTTGTTCCATTTAACTTGTTAAATGTTAAATTGTTAATAATGTTGTTTGGTAATTTGAATCAATTTCCAGGTTTTCTAGGACGCCTGGGAACCCTGGCAAGAAACTCTTTCCACTGTTGTCTTCCTGCAACGGGTCACCTGACCTCTCCCAAGACTTCAACACTGTTTATGGTCCCAGTATGCAGAAATATTTGAATATACTCGGCAAAAGCAATGTATGCAAACACTGGAATTAGCATAAAGAGTCTGCAACGGGGAGACTCGTGGGTTCCCATAGAGCCCATTTTCATTCAGATATCTTGAGGTCAGAGTTCAAGGAATCCCTTTGAAAATGGCCATATCAGTTTTTCCAGCCAATGGATGCATCAGGTCATCTAGTTTCACGTGATACCAGCACCTTCATTCTAGCATTAATATAGAGCTTGCTACAGCCTCTGATAGACAGATCAGATTTAAAGGGTGGCCATGCCAGGCCCCCGACTCTGGAAACGCCCCTGGTTGGATAGTGCAAAATTCCTCACAGAGGCTGCAGCACTCTCACTCAATACTCGACCAAACCTGGAAAAAGTCCAAGTTGAAAAATACCAATGAAATGCACATAATGGACCTGACTTTTAAAACTAGCTTAGAGGTCAGAGATTAACTTACTAAATCGGTCCTGAAAGTATCTCACCTTCAGATTCTTGGTGGTGACGATGACCTCTCCAGTGCGGTTGGTGGTGAGGCCGTGTGCCGACGGGAAGCTTCGGCGAGGTGGAGGTGGGGGCGGAGACTTGGAGGGTTTCTCTGTACGATACCTGGCCACATTGAGATCCACTGCAAACAGCGGACAACACTTACGTAAAAGCTGCTCTTTACACGACTTCACATCGAGGTAAATAAACAGAATTTACTGAACTCACCTGACCCTCGATGCGAACCGGCCCCCTCCATACTGTTCAGCTTCTGGGCAGCCAGCTGCACTTTTCCAGGCTGCTGGTCCCCGCTGGGCGTGGTGGTTGAGGTGGTGGTGGCCGTGCTCCCAGCTGCTGGAGAAGTAACCGTGGTGGAGGTTATTGGGATGGTGATCTGGGGCTTGGGGGGCACCGCCGGCTTGTTGATGTGCTTGGCAGCGAAGTCGAGGTCCGGGATGGCCTTCATCAGCTCGGCCTGGGTCTCTTCCAGCAAGCGATTGATGTCCTGGGCGCTGAACTGGGTCAGGCTGGCACGCTTCTCCTCCCAGTCCCGCTCTGC